GAATGGTATGAAGTTCATCGTGTCCCTCGAGCAGAGAGAGTTCATTGGGCAACTCTTGCACGTTGCAGGGACGAATGGAGACGTTACTGGCGCCCGCTCGAGGAACTCGATGATCAACGGGAGCACAGGTGATACGGAATCATTTGCTACCTGGTTATTACTATAGTAGCCCCATAACTCATCATTTTTTAAGGCGGGCCCACCTTTCAAGGGATGAACTAAAAGGGGCGCTTGAGATCCCCTTTGTTCGCTTGGGTCCCGGACGAGTTCTTTGTAAGGGGTCAACTCGTCAGAGATCTCCGTTACCGTCGTTCGAATCTTTGCACCCAGAACCAAGGGAAAGGATCACACGGATGCACCTCCTTCAACTGCCTCATGGAGAGAACCATCTAGCAGTAGTATTACAGGCGAAGTCCCTGTTTCAATTCCTTCCACTGACTCGATTCATTGCCTGCTTGCTTCTTCCTCACCTTTTTTCTGGCACCTCGTTTTCGACTGGTAAGTGTTTTCCTCATTTTTGGTTGTGCCGTCGGGGTACATGTTTCCCGAGTTTCCTTTTTATGTGTATGTGATAGACCCTAAGGCGCAATTCAATAAATAAATCTGAATAATAATTTAAGGTACCAAGGAACAAACTAACCTCTTTGCGCAGTGTGGTAAGATCATCATACAAGAGCATCTTTTCGCGGTAGGCTTCGATAAGTCGTTCGTGTTCAAGTTCACGCTGAAAATCGGAATTTGTAAAACGGTAAGCCACAGGAGGCAGGCGCTCTGTAAACTGAATGCAACGCGGGTGAAGTTACCAAAGTATATCACGAAAAGAACAGCAGAATACTTCAACAAGCGTCAGAACGAGGAGTTTGTCGGTGCTGGTGAAGGACGCAGTAGTATCGCCCCGCCCTCAAATAAAAGAGCATGAACCGACTACAGCGGCGACAAGGTGACCGCTTGAAGGCACTTCGAACGCGAGCACATCAGACGCAGCTTCTTTGGACATGCACGACGAGCCTAGAGCAGCACGGCACGGCTAAAACTAGCTAGACCAACTTGGTAACCGGGTAGCTTGACTAAAAAATAAATATTACAGCGAGATACGCTGATACCAGTGAGCCCGTTCCTCTTCCAACTAGCTCTGTATACTATACGAGAGCACGTGAACGCACTGGCATCGGCAGAAGATGGCAGAGCTGAGCGAAAAAAAAACCGGGGCACGCCATGATCATAGGCGAAAGTGCCTGGCATAAGCGAAGTTACTGTTCAGCTACAAAAGTTGTAAACAAATCCTCTCGCAAAAACGCATCGCAGGCATGACAGGAAGAACAGGAAGTTGAGTCTGTACACTCATCTCTGTGGTTTGGGTCCTTGCCATGTGTAGGGGATGTGTGAGGAGATCGATCAGAATTGCCCAGGAACGGGCACGCATATGGCAGCCAGACATGCTACTTTTCTGTGCCCCCACACCAGCGGTTGTTCTCTGCCGCAGAATGCGTGTTTCGCTGCGGGACCTCAATGGCTTAAAGCGCAGCACCCTGAGGATAGCGCGAGTGGAGTTTAGGAACGGCATTCGGATACCACTACCGTCCAGCTTTATTCCCTCGCATTTTCGAGCGAAGGAAAAGGGGCGACTGCATCTGCAAACCCATTCACCTCGCACATGTAAAGGGCCGCTTTATGAGACCAGTGCACAATTTGTCTTTGACCGGGTAGCGAACCAGAAATCTTGAATAGCTGCTCTGAGTATGAAAAAGCTGGCTGGATCAACGGTTGGAAGCGCCAGCTATTTCGTAC